TATGAATATTATTTATCTACACGTAATGTGATTCTGGTTGCATTTTCTTTAATTATATAATAACATTCATTGAGTACATGGATTACATGTATTCATGAGAGTGTTGTACTTTAACACGTTTCATACGTAAAGAAAGGTAATGTGATTCGGGACTATGGAATAAGGAGCCTAACCTTGATCTTCTCAAGGTGGAAAGCAGGGTTGATGATTCTTCGATGTTTTGCCCATTCGTCACCATCATAACTAAACATCCCGCTGGCTATCAATCTTCCCAAAGGGAATGTATGTAGCTTCTGGAAATCATATATTTTGTTGAACAGTTCCTTGATTTGCTCAGGATCCGTAATGGTGACGATTGGTGTAGGTCCACGCCATGTAAAGAAAGTCCTTCCTATTACACCCACATTACGTAGAAATACAAAGCTTGAAAACCTTTTGTCTAGATCAGGTACAGTGCAACACAGTTTTCTTAGGAATCAAGAAACATACCGTAAGTTTTGAGATTGTGCAAGGGGAAAGGCATAACTCGTGGGGTGATATCATCCGTAAGTTTGATGGGTTTGGACCTTGCCTCCAAGGTCATACTGTAATCCCTTTTCACATCACCAACGAGTGGATTGTAAGGAGAGCCAGCAAGACCTTGTCTTCTTAGGTAACTTTCAAGCATCTTTGGTTTAAACCAAACCCATTTTAGAGTTCTCCATACCCACCACAGCACAACAGCTATAGCTACCGAAACTGTTACCGAGGCAGCTGATGTTTCCATTTTCGTTCCAAGAATTGTGAGAGAGAGAGAGAGATAGGGATAACCGGCTGATATTCTAAGCTATTTAAAGATTGTAATTTTGCTATTAGTGATGACATGAGCACTTATGTCATATATATTTGAAAGAGCTGAGATTGACTCGGGTAGAATGAAGAAGAATAGAGAGAAGATGAAGAAATTGTAGAGAAAATACAGAAAATATAGAATAGAGTAGAGAGAATAACCAGTGAGTAACTTTTATTTATTTTTAAGGTTTTAATTTATTTATTATATATATTTTGTATTTCAAATAAGAAATAAATTTTTACTTTTTATTATTTTTTTGTTTTTCGTGAAATTATTTTATTTATTGGTCTTATTCAAAAAAATTAATCATATATAATATCGACTAAACTATTTTATTGTGATATTTAGATTTTGATATACATTTCATTATGGTGTCTGAAGAATATATAGTGAACAATGCTAGAAAAAACCAAAATTATTTAATGAGATTTGTATTAATTTATTTTTATGATCAAAAATCTATTACCATTTTGATGTATACTTTTAATTTATTTTGATTAAGTTTTTAATTTTATTAGTTACATTAGATATCTAAAACATATGAGATTTAAATCTTGTTATGTTTTATTATAAGTTCTAAGTCCTATTTCTTTTTTCAAAAGATTAGGAGTTAGTTTAAATTATTGTTAAATATTTTTAATAATAAATTGACAATATAAATAAAGATAATAATTTTAATTTATATTTATAAGAAATTTGAATTTTTTCTTAAGTTTTTAATAGCTAATATATAATTATTTATTAAAATTAATTAACTTATTAATCCATAATTTGTCTGTTGTCGTCCAAATAAATCGGTGACCTAGAAAGTTACCGATTCAATGTACGGACCAGGTTTATAAACATTGTTTATAACTAATATATCGTTACAAATACGGAGTTACAAATTAGTTGGTAATATTACTTAATCGCGTAGTTGCAAGATAGTGTAATATTTTGGGTCACCTTTGTGACTCGAATATAAAAACGTATTTTGGTGGCTATTTTGGTTTCCACGTGCACACAAAAAAGAAAACATGTTCCACACGAGATTGGTAGCTGTATTGGGTTGTTGTGTACTTCATTTCTAATTCAACGTGTGACCAAATCGAAGCCTGTAATTATTTTTGCGAATATGAACACACATTCGTAACAAACTAGTGATAACTTGTCATTTAGTGGCCAGTTTTACCAAGAAAAACTAGTGGCAACTTGTCGTTTTCTGTTACAGAAACTTCTTTGCAAGACTAGTCTTAATAATATGTATAACTTATGCATCTAAAGCCATCAGTTTAGTCTTAATAATATGTATAATTTATGTATCTGAAGCCATTAGTTTTCATGATCGATGTAGTAGAAAACTAGTTGTGATATTTGCTACATACTTGCAAGTGTATAACTATTTATTTATATCTTCTATTTTCTTAGATGATTACATAAAATAATTAAGTAAAATAATACGATTTATGCTTAGTTGAGTAAAAATAGTTTCAAGTTGGTATTATTGAAATGTTATTTTCTTAATGTTTTGTTGACTATAATATCTTACAATTACAAAAAAACAAATATATATAATATTTTTTTTGTCGACAAAATATCTATAATATCTTTTGTTAGTATAGTAGTTAGTAAAATATAATTTATAGATATTTATAGTAAAATATATTATTAGACAACTAAATTAAAGCCCAAAATTTAGACGGAATTTTTTTTAAAATGGATACCCATTTTATATTAAAATTTATTATCATACTAATGTGAATACAAATCTTAGTACACAATTCAATAAACAAAGAGCTTTCAGAAATATTATTAAACAACTAAAGTAAAGCAAGAAATTTGGACGAAAAAATTGAAAAATGGATACCCATTGTATATTTAAATTTATTATCACAATAATATAACATATATCCTTCATAAAATAAAAATTATTAAAAAAATTAATATTTATCTATTTATAAGTAGTCTATGTTGGACCATTATATTTATTTAATTTTCTATTATTCTCCTACAACTAACTTAGTTATTAAATATATATACTTTATCTAACCAATTATTTAAATATATTTTTAAAATAAGATATCTAAAAAGATATTCTTAAAAATATCCTTAAGTATCTTTTCCCTAAGGTTATATTTTAATATTATCTTTTCCCTATCTTTTATTATGTTCTATTTTAAATGTAAATTAAGATTTCTTTTTCATATTTACTTTAAATAATAAAAGTCATAATTAATACTATCAACTATAATTAAAAATGAATACTAATTCATTTTTCATTTATAAAATAAGAAATAAAAAATATAATATTTATATATACATAATTTATATTTATAATTAAATTACTGCACCAAGTAATAGATATGAAGTAACTTAAGCCATTTATTAACTATTTTATAAATTATAAATAAAATATAATCATGAATTTTACAACATACTTCAACTTTTAAAACAATATTAAAGTACGATATGTAAACTGAACAATAAAATATTAAAATTTCAAATATTCAAAATAATTTAATATATTTATCAAGTAGACGAATAAAATGACAATAATTAATTTGTATAATAATGCTGAAAAATATATTTTTTACCAATATAAAAATTAAAATTTATACTATAATTTAAAAGTTATAAAATATAAGTAAAACTGAATATGAGGCAGGTTATATAAATGAATTATCTTAGTAAAATTATATACATGTAAATTTTAATTTTGTTACATATACTTTACACAAAAATTATAAAAAGATATATATGTATAAGATTTCGAATTTTCAGTAAATAAGTTTTTGAATAGAAATCCATTGCACGCTTTAAACTGCCAGTTGAATCTAATAATAAACATTATTATTAGATATATAATAAAAGTATATACAAAAATGAAAACTAATAAATATTAAAATTTCTAATATGAATAATGAAATGAAGTTAAAAGTGTAAAATAAACCAAAACAAAAAATTGAGAAAATTCTAGTAACATGTGAACAATAAAAGTAAACTAAATAAATAAGTAATTATATTTATTTCAAACTTAAATCATTAAATTGTAATAATAATCGTTGATGTTCAAATCTATTTATTTTAGTATGCATTTAATCCATTACACTTACAACAAAATGATAAATTAGTTTGTTTAAAAATTTGTATGACTGATTTTGTAAAAAAAAAGGAATTACATATAGAGTTATCAGTTTTGTCGTTTAAACCGCATGTCCGAATTGTGTTTCATAACATCGGATATGATGCTTCATGAATAACATTTAAATGTAGATCCAAAATCAAAATTGCAAATTTATATCATATAAATTTGATTTGTTTCCAAAATAATCTTGCGCTTTGAAATCATGGATCAAAATCTAATAAATTTCTTAAAATACTCTTCATTTATATTCCAAAATGGAACCTACATTATATCCCAAATTCTAGCATAAAATCTCTTCACTTTACTATTATTTGTACTAAGCCCATTAACGTTATCTTCCATATTCTTCTTCCACCCTGTCCAACTATATTTCATGCTCTGTATAAAGCTCAGTTTCAAATAGAATCTGAAACTGGTCACATGAGCTCGAACCAGAGCATCGCCGCAGTTATGTATTGATGTCTAATGTACATGTAGATGCTGGGAAACACGACCAAGTTTTGGACGTTAGAGTCGGAGACAACGGGATGTTAAGAAGACACCAGATAGCAGCTGGACTGAGTTCAAGAATGATATTCAAATATTGTTTACCGTCGATAAGTGAGACTCACCAAGAATATGAATCTATCCACGCTTGGTTAAGTCTGTTTAACTTTCTCATATCTGTGTGTGGTCAATGAGCATATGCTGCTTGACGACTATAGCTAATTTTAGCCTAGGTAGACATAAGATCCTTCACGCCATGCATAAACATAAGATCAACCCTTAAAGAGTATAATTTCCTATATATGTTGTGTGAAAGACAATTTTTTCCGGACTAGAAAATTGTAGAAACCAACAACAATGGTTAATTTTTTTGGCCATTGCTCTGTAAAATTAGCAAAGAGAGACATGTGGTTGGGGGTTAAAACTGAACTTTTCTTTATTATCACAATCTCAAATGTCACAAATCAGGCTTGATCCAATAATACTTACATTACAAAACAACTAACATTGGGAGATTCTGGTGATCAATAACCTGATACCAACAAATTGCTAACTCTTTAAGACATGCCATACCCAACCGTGCCTACGCTCCGGTGTGCTGCAACTGCAACCGCGGCGGCTCCAGCAGGACCATATTGGGATTGTGCATGCAACAGCTTAGCATCAATACCCACCTTATGCTCTGTTTGGACATAAGGGTTAGAGTTCAGCTCAGCTGGCTTTGCAGAGTTGCGTTGGGTTGGAACAAACTGCGGTTTTGCCTGAGATGCAGCTTCTGTACCACCACCGCGCTTCTCTTGTTGGTTTATGGTGTTGGGATTAAAGAAACAGTTAGGAGAAACGGTCTGTTGTGGAATGCTTCTGTAATATGATGTCCTTGCATCATAGGATGACTCTTTGAGGTTCCTGCCGTTCTCATAAGTTACAGATGATTGCACAGCGCGTCCTGGTCTACCTGTTGATAAAACACATGGGATTGAGTCTCAGAACAATACCTTGTCTCTCAAACAATACTTTCATAGATTGTAGATTACTATTTTTACCTGACGGTATTCTTGGAGGAGGTCCTAAAGGTTTAGTTGAAGTCGATGGAACTACATTTCTTGAAGGTTGTGCATTGGATGTCACTACACCAGGGTGAACTGTAGACCGTGGAAGTGAAGCATGCTTTCTCTCTGGAGGTATGACTGGTCCACTTTTACCGCTATTTTCTTCAAGGTACGCAAACTGTTTCCTCAGATGACCAATGGCACTACAAATATCAAAATCAATCGATCAGATAGATGAAATAACAATAGAGAGTTTAAGGTCTCAACATTTATTTTATAAGAGGAAGTAAGAACCTAGGATATAAGAAATTTGAGCCTTCAGAACCGTTCATATAATCCTTGAGCAGCTGAGGATGGTATTCTAGTATCTCCCTGTATATTAGCTCTCTGATGTCATCCTTTGTCAACCTTCTTCTTTCAAACTCAAACTCCATCTTCGAGATTGGCTGACAAGAAGGTTCTCTCTCAATCTTAGCAAGACCTTTAAAGTAAGGATCAGCCAGCGCCTGTCAAAATAACATCACAATGTTTAACATCACCGTACAAGAGGGTCAATGACAAGAGAGGGAGGAATGAACAAGCACCTCTGTAGCAGTAGGCCTATCCTTTGGATCAAAAGCCAATAGTCTCTGCAATAACCGCAACGCTAAAGGATCTGCATTAGGAAACTTTTGAGAAAAAGGGACAAGACTTTTCTTCCTCATTTCTCCCAAGTATTTTCTAGCTTTCTCGTTTCGTACCTGCATCAGAGATTTTATCATTAGTTCTCTACATGAATTCTCTAAGCAAACAAAAAGGAAACTTGGTAAAGAACATACTCCTGCAATGGTTTCTGGTTTTGGCGTCCCAAGAAGATCAGTAATCAACTCTAACTGATGAACAACACTTTTCCCAGGAAACAAAGGCTTCCCTAATAAAACCTCCGCAAAGATGCATCCAATGCTCCAAATGTCAATAGCTGGAGTATACTGCAATGGACAAAAAACTACAAGTCAGACTACTTAGCAAAAAGAATCCACTCAAATGCTCCACAAAGATTCTAACACCAGACCTATAACATTTACAACCGTACAAATAAGTAAAAAACATACAAGAGGAAGATGAAGATAACAAGTACCTTTGAACAGAAAGATCCACAAAGCTCAGGTGCCCTGTACCATCTTGTGGCAACATAGTCCTGAAACAAGAAAGACATATAACCAAATTCAAACACACTGGAGAGAGCACCAAAACCGAATAACTAATCAACAGAAAAGTGGAGACAAGGATACTTACCGTCCAAAAAATTGTAGTAGGCGTATCATTAAACGACACTCTCGCTAATCCAAAGTCACAAATTTTCAACTTGCAGTTAGCATTAGCAAGTATATTCTTCGGTTTAAGATCACGATGATAAACATTAGCTACACACACACAAAACCAGAATCAAGTTAAACCACAAATCTTACTAAAAACAGCAAAAAAAAAAAAAAAAAAAACCCTACCTGTATGCATATACTTCAAGGCACGAAGCATCTGATAAAGAAAAAACTGATGATGCTCCTTAGTCAAGTCATCATTAGCCTTAATAACCTGATGCAGATCCGATTCCATGAGCTCAAAGACAACGTAAATGTCTTTAAACTCTCTTTTGGAAGGTGGAACCATGATGCTCTTGATCTCGACTATATCCGGATGTCTAAGGATCCGGAGAAGCTTCACCTCACGGAGGATACGGAGAGCGTCAGAGATGTGTTCAAAGACGTCATTGATCTTCTTTATCGCGACTTTCTCTCCCGTGTGTGTGTCGATAGCTGCGCACACAACTCCGTAGCTTCCTTTACCGATAACTTCGAGAATCTGGTAACGGTTCGCGTCGCCGTACTCTGTGAAAAAGTCGATCTCTTTCATGTTCTGTTTTGCAAGAAACAACACAAAAGTTAAATCAAGAATCCAAAAAAAAAAAAAAATCAAGAATCCAAGAAAGCAACTCAAATTTCATCAAAACGACAGTACTTTAAGAAGAGACCAAACCTTCTTCACATGACCTTGTTGTTGCATCGTTTTGAGCGAGTAATTAGTATAAAGATGAGAACTTTCGAGAAACCCAGATAATAATAGAGCTCAACAACTCTCAGGCAAAACCCTAAGGAGGCTTCAAGATTCAGAGATTGGAGAAGAGACGATGGAGAATCTGAAGAAGAAGAGAGATGTTTGGTTTTGGTTTGTTTATATAATACAGATTGTGATTCTCTGTTTCCGTGTGATTCTAATTTTGTAGTTTCCTCAATTTTTTTGTTCCTAATTTTAGCAATTTTCGTGGTACTTATTTTGCGTACAGAGAGTACAGGTCACGCGGAACAGACAATGGCATTATTGTAATTTTGTTACAACTTTGAGCCTTGTTTTGTTTTGGTTAGGTCCACTGTCGGTGAGGCAACTAACCCCCATGGACCCGTTTTACTATTTAAATATTTCTATGTTGCAACCCTCAGACTATTCATTAATCATAATTAGCATCTTTTTATTGTATGGTTAATTTAGCCTCTACAAGATTAATGATTTCTTGGTAATATATTGTTTTCCAACTACTTTTTTTCACTACAAAATTGTTCGCTTGATCTCTATCGTTGATGTTTCAGTCAATAAATTTGATTTAAACATAATACAGTAAATCCAACAAGTTTATATATAGCCTTAACTTTTACCTAACCATCGTTAACGTGTTTACACATTGCGCTGTTAATATTAACATAAAACTAGATTTCGACCCGCATAACCGTGCGGGTATTTTAATACGAAAATATTTGAAATTATATATTTTACATAATTTCAATTTTTTTGTTTATAAATTAAAAATGAATTAAAATTTTAATTCTATTTTATGATATTAAGATTTTAATCAAATAATTTTTGAAACTATATCTTGAAAAAGATTCTAAAATATTTTGTTAGAATTTTCTTAAAACTATTTATTTGTATTTCAAACAAAAAATTAAAGATATAAAAAGATATTATAATGTTATGTAAAATTTTATAAAACTTTAAAGATGGTCCAAACTAAAATATCACACATGAAGTGAATCATGACTTCTTTTTTAATATAATAGATAAACAAACGTTTTGTGTGTTGCTAGAAATCGTCTGAAGATACTATAATAATAATACTAGCAATTAGGATTACATATTAAACAAACGAGAAGACTTAAGTGTCAAAAACTAAAGTAGGATAATGGCTATCGCAAGCGACCCTGCTGTTGTTGCCGCTAAAATGTTTAGCAAAAAATTGTTTAAAATGTTAAGATCAAATAAAATAAGATTGCAAGTCTCATTGGTCTCCCTGCAAAAGAAAAATGAATGATGAAAAGATTAGAGGACTTGCGAAAATAACATATTTATTGATATATAAAGTCAATTATGCAAATTGTTGTTCATTTCTATCTTTTATACTCTTACTAAATCCGATAAGTTATATTATAGAGCCGTATAACTTATCTAATCATCGTTGACGTTTCACGTGTATACACATGGGTTGTTTAATATATCATATAACATTAACAAACGTTTTGGGTTAGCCTGAAGTCGTCTACAAATACTAGAATAAAACGTTAGCTATTACGATTACGTATTAAACTAACGAGAAGACTTAAGTGTCAATAAAAAAAAGTGGGATAATGACCAAGCGACCGTGCTGTTGTTGCCGCTAGCTAGGGCGTTAGAATTAGGGTCGAATATAATAAGACTGCAAGTCCCATTTTCTCTGACTCTCCCTCTTAAGGAAAAAAAATGAATGATAAAAACATTAGAATAATTGTGAAAATAACATATTTATTGATATACAAGGTCAATTGTGCATACGGACGTTCATGTCTAACTTTCTTTTTGCGTAATACTACGTTTCTTTGGTGAATCCGAAACAAAGAAAGAGTTGAGTTATCTGTTTGTGTATATATTCGTACTCTTTTTTTTGGTCGACGTATATATATTCGTTAAATTATATAAGTTGAGGTATTTTAATATATGGGTGAGATGCAAAGTTGGTCCATTAGCTAAAAGCATGAGAAAGACAGATTTACATATCAAAGATTAAAAAGAATCTGAAATCTGAAGCCACACAATGTAGGCGAGGTGTCACATATATTATAAACATTTAAACGAAAGTTGATGTTTCATTTTCCATCACAATTTCTTCATTTTGGTAACCTTTATCTTTAATAATAATAAAATCTACTAAGTCGTCCAGTGGTCTTTCATTTTTTTTATAAATCTGCCAATAAGCTATTTTCAAACTAGAATAGTACATTGGAAACGTGTAGAGATCTTTAGATCACTGCACAAAGAGAAAGAAGACTGATATATCCTCCCTTACTTTTTTCTGCTCACAATCATTAACATTTTGAGATTTTCAAGTTTAGTTTTCAACATGACATAACTGTATAAGTCAATCCAAACATTTGCGGGCGACCCTTACATTGGTTTAAGCTTCTTGAAGATCTCTATAGTACGGATTTTGAAAAGCTAGATTGTGTGTCCTTTGAACCGTAATTTATTTTCAGATTTCTGGTTTTCCGCTAATCCATTAGTTGAAAACTTTGATTACAAAATTCATCAAATATATAACTAAATTGCTTAGCAACAGATTAAAAAAATTAATAGTAGACAAGTAGAGCAGAAAATTCACTAGAATCGAGAGTGGTACCGTTTAATTTAGACTCTTTAATTTAAACACTGCAGAGTAGGGGTGGGCGCAAGGCGAGTACTTGCTATTTTGCATGTACTCGCGACTTGACTTGCCTTATACGAATAATAAAATTTTCGACTTGTACTTGACTTGTTTAAAACGAGTACTTACTATTTCGAGTACTTGATGAAAAATAAACGACTTGCAAGTTACTTGACTTGCTCTATTACTTACTATTTACGAGTACTTGTGCACTATTTACGAGCTTTTTCGGAATATTTAAGAACTACTAACTAAATAACATTCTGTTAGAAATAGACATGAAAATTTGTTTTGTTTATTTTACTTAAAGTAACATGTAAATTACTTTAAATAGAATATTTGTTTATATTATAAAAAAGATAAATTAAAAAATGCATTTTATGGTATATAAATATTGTATAATGATCACGATAACAAGAATATCTTCTCTAGATAAGTAACTAAGTAATAAGAAATCATATTACTAAATTTTTAATATTTGTTGCTGTGTAATACCTGACTAGATAACGACAGAGTATTCAAAGATCAAGATTGGATACAAAATAAGTAATAAATATAAGAAAAGTAGTGTGTATTTATGTCCAGTCCTAAATGCAAGTAAAAGAAAAGACAAATATGAAAAACTAATTAATAGATTATGTAACAAATAGCAAGTAATGGAATAAGTAGCGGACGGAACGAGTCAAATACAAAATATAATAATGATACTTGATACTTGACTTAGTCTTGCAAGTAATGAAAATTGTCGTCTTGTTACTTGCCTTGATAACACCGAGTACTTGAATTTTTAAGGCGGGTACGAGTCAAATACCGAGTTTAAGGCGAGTAACGAGTAATGATGCCCAGCCCTACTGCAGAGGACAGGTCTCACCTCACGAAAAAACATAGCCTTTACTTTATATTTGGCTGTATTCAAAATTGGTAATTACATGAACAGAAATATCTCCGCCAAGCAGATTTTGTTTCTTGATTTGTTTGGTAGCCTTCAAAATGAATCAACGAACCTAATTTATAGTTCAATATTAAAAACACATCCTTCTCAACATTATTAATGCCAATAAGTTTGTGTCACCTATTACATCAAATCAAAGAAAGTATTCTTTAATGCATAACACCAAAACAACTTTTTCAATATTTTTAGACCAAAGAAAGAGGGCCATAACTTTAATATAAACAAGTTTCTGAGATTATCCTTACTATACCAAATAATAAAGCAGATATTATATAGTAAAATATATAGAGTTGATAAAAGAGGACAATAGAGGATGCTGCATCATATCCAATAAAATCAATAAATAATGCATGGTATAGTGGTCCAGTGGGAGTGGCACAAGAAGTTGCATGTGGATAAGGGGACATTAACACTCGTGTATGTTTTTTAACTTGTCCAAACGGCATATTCGTTTATTAAAAACAGAGAATCCAGAGTTTTTGATATCAAAGTTCCACTGAGAGAATCGAAACACATTAAGATAATGAAACGTTGGTGTGACCAACAAGGAAACTTGGGGCTCCAAAAGGTCAACATTTTGATCATTTGAAGACAATGAAGCATGGGTGGGCTTTGGGATATAAGACAAGGTTATAGCATAATTAACCCGGGGTTTTTATGATATAAAAACGAGGTTTTTAGTGAAAGTTAAAAAACTGAAACTGTTTCTTAACTTTTAACTAAAAAAAGTTAAGAACTGGTTCTTAAAATAAAATTAAGAAACCGTTTTAGTTTTTTAAATTCCACTAAAAACTTCATCATAAGAACTCCAAATTAGTCATAGTTTTAGTTCTTATTTTTCTTTCTGATTGGTTGGGCCACATTAGATATATATATTTCACGACATTCGATATATATTATATATATTTCACGACATTCGATATATATTCTGAGCATCTCCATTCTCGAGTATCGGTGTGGACTTGAGGAAGTGCATGAATACATAAAGGTCTATCATGACAGGTTAACCAACTGTCTAAATTTGGATACTTCGATCATCTTAAATTTCCTGGAGAATGTGATCTTCTCGAAGCTAATATTCTGATATGGTACATTTTCCTGAGCTATTCGGCACGTTTCGCAGCTACACTCGAACAAATGAAAGACAATGAGAAATGGAGACGGCGTCAGGTCTAAACCAGCAGCAACGAGAGGTTTCAAAAGTTTCCAAACTAGGAAAGTTGAGAAAAAGGTTCACGGAGACAGATGGATGCCATGTTGAAGATTCTAACTTCATAGAGACAAAAGAACTTAACTGCTTCCTCAATTGTAAGATGACTCAAAATTTTGCTAAAGGCAACCGCATTGAAGAATCTCTCACCATGAATCTTTTCCTAATTGTATTATTAGTATGAGACTATGTATTAAAATAATAATTATAATTGGGGAGAGTCTCAGGGCATCTCCAACGGTGTTACCCGTTGGAATCTTTAAAAAAACTATTTTTTAATTTTTTAATTTTTATTTTTTTTAGATTAAAAAAAAATCAACGAATTACGGGTTGCCACATGTCATGGGGACCCGCAAATAGTGCAAGGATTCGCTAAGAAACCGTCTTTATTTAAGAATTTTAAAAATCGAATCCTTAATTTTTTAATTAATTATTTTTTCCCTAAGTATCCTGTTGGAGGTGCTCTTGAGAAACTATACCCAATGCAGATGGCCTAGGAATGCTCTGAGCAATTCACTGAATCTATCTCAAAATTTCTCACTTCATAACATACCGGAGTCCTCGTGGAAGATGGAGAAACCATCTGTCTCTATATGGGCTCGTTTTGACGTGGGATAATGCACTAATATTAGTCCCTGATACAGTCAGAGAGAAAAACAAAGATAAATACGAAAACGTTAGTGAAAAAAAAAAAACAATGTAGTTAGATGTAATAAGAAAACATGCAATGTAATCTTCAAACACATCACGAAAAACACCAAATCTAAAAGCAAATGAAAGAGATATACGTTTATGATTAGAGAACAATGTAAGGACTCTTCAACTCGGCATGGACTTGTCTCATTCTTTCCACAGCTCTATCTGAAGACTCCAATATATTTTTCGAGTTGTCTTCCTGTTTCCTCATTCGTTTCTCTTGCTTCCTCTTCCCAGGTTTCTTCCCATGGAATCCATGACAAATTTTCTTAAACGCTTCTTTTTCAGTCAATATCCTGCCAAATTCATCCACCCTATCAATCCTAATATCATTAAACGCATCTTTAAATCTGTCATCATTACCATGATTGTATCTAACACCTACACGGCTATGTTGCACTGGGACGGATACGGGGACAGATACCGGGACGGGGGCGGGGACGGAAAACGGCTAAACTTAAAATTTATAGATACGGGTACGGCATGGGTACGTCTATATATATATATATATGTATATGTATATATGTATATATAAATATTAAAACCAAAACATAATTCTCATATAAAATAAAACACCATGATAATATCTTAAATAAAATAAAACACCACTCTAATATCTTAAGTAATATAAAAATAAACTAATAATCACTATAATATCTTAAGTAAAATAAAAGAAACTAATCATCGATCAATCCATTCTCTAAATCTGGCTCATCAAGTGAAAGACTTGCAAACTCCAAATAACCCACATCTTCCATAGAATCAAAATCATCTCCACCAACATCCCACATCTTTGTCCTTTCTTTCTCGTATTGCTCGGAGTTCCTTGATAAGAAACGTAAATTGTTGTGGATAAAAACTAGATCTTGAGCACGACTTGGATTCAACTTATTCCTTCTAAGTGAATGAATGAATGAGTAAGTACTCCAGTTACGCTCAGCACATGAAGATGAACTAGGCTGTCCAAGCAATCTAAAAGCCAAAGTCTGTAGGAAAGGAGTTTGAGCACCAAAGTTAGCCCACCATTTTTTGGGTTCCATAGTAAACATCACCGAAATGCATGTTAAGTCCTCAAAAGGTCCAGTTCTCATGGAGAATAACGCATATTCATCCATAACCTTAAGATGATCATCAATACTCAGAAACAATCTTCGAAAACACTTCATTCTCTCACTGGAGACTTCTGGATCTCTATGTGGACCAAGTATGGTAGAATCTTCACTTAGCCATTCATCACTATAAAATCTACAATAAAAAAAGATGTCTTATATGAGGCAACAAAAAAAATTATATAGTTTAAAATCACATACCTTGGATTTAAAGAGTGAGCTAGACAATGCAAAGGAGTGTTGTTTTTTGCCCAACGATCCATTAAAATCTCATAAACAACAGTGTAGAAAGGACTAACTTCAACCAGTGGACGTTTCTCTTTCTTGTGGATCTCAGACTTCACCTTCTCAATCATAGAATCCCACATCTCATATACCAAATGAAGACATGGTTTGTCAGTGTCACAAAACCTTATCATCTCATATATTGGTCTTGTGAAATCAATAATGTATGACACTTGCTCCCACCAATCATCACTAAGAATCTTGCCCTTCACAAAATTTGCTTTCCCCACATCATCTTCTCTATAAGCAGACCACTCCTCACTTATGACCATAGCCTCAAGTCCTCTTTTGATAAGCTTCAGTCTCTTAAGCATTACAATGATAGAAGCAAAACGTGTATCAGCAACTGCTAGCAATTTGAGAGGAGAGAACTTACTAAAGATAGCTAGTCTCATGTTGTGGTTCATGATGAAATGTTTTATTGCAAGTGCATCTCCATGAACATCAGTTATCCAGTTGCATTCTTCATATGTTGCTGCATTCTTTTCCACATTCCTTGCCGCACAATTGTTCTTCAAAGCAAGATTGAGGGTGTGAACCACACATGGTGTCCAATAAATATGAGGAAACGTACTCTCAATAATCTCTCCAGCAGCCTTACAATTTGCTGCATTATCAGTGATGATTTGCAAAACGTTTTGATGACCCACTTCATTGATAACCTCTTTCATCAGACCAGAAATGAAGAATCTATCTTTCACTTCTCCAAAACAGTTCACGGCCTTGAGAAATATAGGACCACTTCCAGAAGTAGCAATGAAATTAATCAAAGGTTTCCTAGTAGGATCGCTCCACCCATCTGACACAATCGTCACCCCTCTTTCTTTCCATGTTGACTTAAATGGAACCAATAATCTTTCAACATTGTCTCTCTCTTTCTGAAGCAACGTAGTTCTAAGCTTATTGTAACCAGGAGGCACATAACCATCAATCTTATTTTCAGCAGCAAATTGATAAGACCTATGATAATGTGGGTTTCTTGCAAGGTTAAACGGCAAACCTCCACTGAAGAACATTCTTGCAATTTCTTGATCCAGTTGATCCCTGGCTGCTATACCAAAAGATCTAACAATTGCAGAATCAGCAGACTTTCTTTTCTTTGAAGCAGGATCCGTTTCATTGTTTTCACAAGGTAAAGGGGTCGCTCGAGAACCACTCTCGTTTTTCTTCTTCTCATACTCATCTTCCAGCTTTTGCATCTCAGATTTTTGACTTCTTGTTGCTTTCTTACATACAACAATACCTTGGTTTTTGATTCCAAGTAGATGAGTTCTAATTCTGGAATACGAGCCTTTTCGATCTTCTTTACAAATATTGCACTTAAATTTCCAAGTGCCTCCTTTTGCACCTGATTTCTCTAATTTAGTGACGTAACTCCATAATGGAGCTTCTTTGGAAGCATTGTCAACATTATCACTTGCTTGAGAAGTCATAATTAATTTGATTAACCTACAAAAAAAAAAGCTGTGAGAAGTTTGTATATGGACAAAACAAAAACAATACATACACGTAAGAAGTTTGAAAAGCATATAACAAACCAAAAATAGAGTTTGATTTCTTCTCTAATATACTTTTGTTTTACGGTACAACCGTTCAAAACAAAAAATATATACGTACATGAAACAAACCAAATTGTATCTAATATTAATACTGTCTGAGATGTCTTCTTTTACGTGAGCAACTGAGCATTATAAAACTAAAATCAGAATACTTACTGTCTTTTCCTTAGATGTGTGAATTGATATTTTGAGAAAGACGATGAAGAGAAAAGTGTTTGTTTAAGATTAACAAACCATTGATTGAAATTTATAACCCTAATGATAGACGTGTTTCCTTTTTTTTTAAGTAGTTATCCAAAACTAAAACATATAAAAAAAAAGTAAATAATCAAATCTTTTACACAATTATGCCGACAAAACAGCAAAAACGTTTCAGAAACGTTTCCAAAACTTAATCAACCCGTCCCCAAAATTCTTTGCCGTCCCTCCTTCTCTGAAACGTTTCGGAAACGTTCCCATGCCGTCCCCGTCCCGGAAACGCAGCTGGTACTGGACACGCTTGCTGCTGCTTTTCTCCTTGAAAGTTCCTTGCTCTTTGAGAAGCTTTAATGCGCCAGATAATCCTGTACCGACATCAACCTCACGCATCACACCGTCTCTAACCTAGAACGATCACGGGAACCATGATCAATCTCTTCATCAGCTTTGGAACAAACCTTTTGAACAACCACATCTCTTGATCTCTCTGATGATTCAAACCTCTTTTTCCCACCCTTTATTGAAGAACCAAGATCTTGTTCAGCTTCAAATCCTGAAGCAATACATTCTTTCTTTCTAGAAGCAATATTTATAACTAATTTCTTATTCTTCCTCATCGAGTTCTTCTTCATAGCAATATTAAGAAGAGACATTGTTACTAAAATCCCACACAATTGTGAAATAATAATACCTTATAGATCCAAACCCTAAAAATTCTATATACCTCGTGACATATATTATATATATATATATAGATCACAAGAGAGATCTAGCTAGGTTACAATCCTAATACATATCGAGATAAGGAATAATAGATATTGTACAAGAAACCCTCAAAACCAAATCAGAATAAGAGGTTTTTCAAATGAATAAAGCCCATTAAGAAGCGTGGTGTTTCTGGATTAATATGAAGATTATCCCCTATGAGATTCAACTATTTCAGAAGCAAATATGAAGCTTTCACATGGAAATTTTTAGTCATCCATACGCTAATAGATGTGTTTGTTTACTTTGGATCCCTACTGATGTATCCTTTTTCTATATTGTTTTTGCCAATTCTCATTGTGTAAAACTATTTGCCTAAATGGCTTAATAATACAATCCAGCGTTAAAAAAAAGAAAAGAAACTTTGTATGACGGAATTTTTTTCACATAGGTGGTTCCTTTCTTCTTGGTTATTCTCGTAGGAAACAGCTGAACTAAAGGTACAAATTAGGCCTAGTACAAAACGTTTTCTCCTACAAAACGCCTAACGGGATTGATTTCCAAAAACTATTATTTTTTTGTAAGGGACATATATGATAAAGACTATAAAAGTATAATTATTTATTAATAGTAACAATAACATTATCCACTCAAACCTTTAACTTAAAATACGAATACAAAAAATCACATAGATTTATGATAGTAAATCCAAATGAAACACACTATTTGACAACCAGAAAAGATCTCAAATGAGTAGTTTGAGTTCTACTCTTATTTAAATATACTGTCGACACATCCAGTGTCTTTATCGTAATGTTTTTAAGGAATTTATAGCTTGTGGAGGATAAGATGAGCACCAAACTGTGGCTGAATGGTGAAGACTGTGTAAGGAGCATGAACATACGAAGGTGAAAGCTCGAATGAGAATTTCTGTAGCATCAATGCCATTGCCATCTTTGACTCCATCATGGCAAAGTTATGGCCAACGCATATCCTCGGCCCCCATGCAAAGGGCATGAAGGTGACTTTGCTATTTGTTGCCTTTGAGACACCATCTTTGAACCTCTCTGGGTTGAACTCTGCTGCGTCTTTTCCCCATAGCTGGGTGTCACGTTGGACTAGCAGAATAGGTACGTTGACGTGAACACCACTTGGTAGGGTCAGGTCTCCCAGCTTTATCTCTCTGTGAATGGATCGTGTCAGCTGGATCACTGGAGGATATAGCCTAAGCACCTCGTTCAATATCATCGTCACCTGTTGGAAACGTTCAGCAAAGTCAGCATATATAACACATAACGAAAGTCACGTGAAGGTTTTTTTGTTTTATTTTTATTACTTACAACTTTGAGCTGGTTAAGGCCTTCTGTATCAGGTTCTCTATCGCCAAAAACTTGCTTCACTTCTTCTCTTGCACGATCTTGCCACTCTTGGTGTTGGCTTAGCAGAACCATTGTCCAGCAGAGAAGTACTGAAGTTGTCTCTTGCCCGGCAAAGTAGAAAAACTTACAGTCATCAATCACATCCTCAATGCTCAGTCTACTTCCTTTAGCTTGTCCTAAATTCGATTCAAGAAGTGTACCCAGCAAATCTTCGCTTGGGGGTTCCCCAGCTTTTCTAGCTTTTAACCTTTTGTTAATGATCTCTCTCAGTATAATTGGTACTTCTTTGCCTGCTGCTTTGATCCTCCTATTACCCTTCGTTGGTAAGTAACTACACAAACGAAAGAACAAAGAACAACATGATTCATGTCTCCTAATAGAATGAAGTGGTGGTTACAAGACCAAAGATTCAAGGCAGTTTATTATTACCTGTATCCAGGGATGAAATTTCTCTGAAAAGCTTGAGTGAGGAGCCGTGCTAGTTCCGCTTGGAGCTCAAATATCCTCTGACCTTCTTTGTAGTTGCTCCCAAAAGCCGTACGAGAGATCACATCTGCAGTCAAGCTCATAAGCCAAGGCCAAACGTCCACCTCAGAGGATGACCCTTTGTTTGAGACTATATTGCCCCATTTTCCAACTACCTCGCTGCAGCACTGGTGGAAAGCAGGTGCCATATTCTATACATAGGAACACAAAGAACACATTAGAACATCTATCTATATATATAAAGATGAGTTTACTTTTTCTCTATGCATCCATATTTCCATTTGGTTAAAGAAAAATGTGACACATCAGCATAACTATTGAAAATTTATAAAATATTTCACATCTTTTATTATTTATCATTTTATTTTTTTGATAAAATATTTTCACAATACATCATATAATCCTACATATTTTAAAATTAGTTGTACATTTTAAAAGAAACCATTTGTTAATTTTTATCATAAATAAATTTTCAAACATAACTTTTCTAAGAAATAATATTATTAATAAATTTGGTCATACTGATATATAAATACTTTCATGTTTTGTCCAAAATAATGATATTAAAATCGATGATATAATATTTATTTTTAATAATTTGAATATACTATAAAAATTAGTTTGAAATAAATTTATATTATTATTTGAGAAGTGATTTTACTGATTTTTCATGTTCTCCATGATTTTTGGTAAGTTTGCTTATTTGCCATATTCTCAAAAGTTTTAATTAGTATATAGTTTTGTTTATTTGTTGTATTTTTAATTATTTTTAGTAAATTCATTATTTTGAATAATCTCTACAATATAATTTAAATTTTGATTATTTAGTCACACAAGCCTAATATTAATTTGTTAGTACAGATTTTTTTTTTTTTTTTTGCGCGTGTGACATCTCTTGCCCACTCATGAATTAGAGGAGGAGGTGGGAAGAATTATAAAAGTTAATTTTTTGTGTTTATTTATATAGATATATGCTGATTTGTCATGTTTCCAATGATTTTATGTAATTTTGTTTATTTTTCATGTTGTCAATAATTTTAATTAGTATCTAGTTTTGTTTATTTGTCAAATTTTTAATTACTTTTAGTAAAGTCATTATTTTGAATAATCTATATAATATAATTTATATTTAGTTACATAAGCTTGATATCTATTTGTTAGTACAACTTTTCTCTTTCTTTGTGTGACAACTCATGAATTAGTGAGGAGGTGAAAAATTTATAACAACTAAATTATTGTATTTATATATATATATATATATATATGTATTAATAATTAATAATAAAATTAAGATTATCATTATGAAAACATCGCTTTCTAAAGTCGGTGTTTAGTTAAACTACAGAGCAGGGATGCAATCTTATCATTGGTATAAACCTTAAATAGAGACATATCTAAAGTACGATATAATCTACAGTGAGACATATCCAAAGTACTATATAATCTACAGTGGATATTTATTTTTATAAAAGGGATATTTATTTTTATAAATGTATATTTTTATTATTTTATTTAGGAATCAAAGGGTGTCTTTTCTGTATTGGTTTGGATTAAGAACCATGACACCCTTAATAAACATTTAAATGTATTTATTTTATATCCAATTATAAATTATTATCATAAAATTGCCCAACAAATAAAATATATTCTAAAGTACAAAAAATAATTCCTATATATATTGTGTTGTTATCTTAAACAAATATTGTTTCAATTATAAAATTTCAAAATTAATTATTATTATTTAAGTTTTAGTAGTATTATATATAAAAATCAATAGAATTCATCGTGTGAAACACTGTTAATTATCGATTTCACCCATTTTAGTTATATGTCTAAAATATCATAGAGCTATTTATTTTTATACATATCAATTCTGTTAAACAAATTTAACTTTAAGATATTACAGAAATTAATTTAAAATAAGGGAAATATTTAAATACCAAACTTTATACATTTTGTTATTCGGAGAACTTTTGTTTTTTTTTTGTACCTTAAGAGCTTTTGTTTTGCCACCAGAACTTTTTATCATTCAGAATTTTTTATCATTTAAGATGAGATGTAGGTAAATGCACGTTCTCTATTTTTCTGATGAATATTAATGAAATTTAATGTGATATGTTACGAAAAGTTGGATTGTTTTTCCCAAAGTAAGGATGTAACTGAAGATATTGATAACTAATAAATATATAAAAAAAGGCATAATGCATATAGTGAGTGTTTAAAGAGATTTTCCAGAAAACAAATATATTACGTTTGTGTTTCTATTTGTCTAGATACAATAAAACTCATATATATTTCAAAAAAAAAACTTTTTCACATATAATAATTTGATGTTCAATATAATATTTTTGAGAACACAAACAATAACTTATTATGTTAATCATTGAATTAATAAAATCTGTAAGATAATTATATCAGTATGTGTGGGCGAAACACTCAGTATGGATGTTATTTATCTACACGTAATGTGAATTTGGTTGCACTCTCTTTAATTATATAACATTCATTGAGTACATGTGATGTACATGGATCACCTGTACTCAAGAAAATGTTGCACTTTAACACGTTTCATATGTAAAGAAAGGTAATGTGATTCGAGACTTATGGAATATGGAGCCTAACCTTGATTTTCTCAAGGTGGAAAGCAGGGTTGATGATTCTTCGGTGTTTTGCCCATTCGTCACCATCATAACTAAACATCCCACTGGCTATCAATCTTCCCAAAGGGAATGTATCTAGCTTCTGGAAATCATAGATTTTGTTGAACAATTCCTTGATTTGCTCAGGATCCGTAATGGTGACGATTGGTGTAGGTCCACGCCATGTAAAGAAAGTCCTTCCTATTACACCCACATTAAAGAGAAATACAAAGCTTGAAAACCTTTTGTCTAGATCAGGTACAGTGAGGAACACTTTTCTAATTAGGATCAAGAAACATACCGTAAGTTTTGAGATTGTGCAAGGGGAAAGGCATAACTCGTGGGGTGATATCATCCGTAAGTTTGATGGGTTTGGACCTTGCCTCCAAGGTCATACTGTAATCCCTTTTCACATCACCAACGAGTGGATTGTAAGGAGAGCCAGCAAGACCTTGTCTTCTTAGGTAACTTTCAAGCATCTTTGGTTTAAACCAAACCCATTTTAGAGTTCTCCATACCCACCACAATGTAACAGCTATAGCTACGGAAACTGTTACTGAGGCAGCTGATGTTTCCATTTTCGTTCCCAGAAATGTGTGAGAGAGAGATATGGATAACCGGCTGATATTCTGAGCCATTTATAGATTGTAAATTTTGCTATTAGTGATGACATCACCATTTATTTCATATATATTTTCTATTTTTCCCTCTCGAAAAATCATTTATGATCTTTTGCATTATTTTTGAGCCTTAAAGCCACTGGTCACGGGACAATAATAAACAAAAAAAACATGCATGCTAATGCAGATCCTTGGGACCCATGCAAAGAAGTTATGTCCAATGAATGCATGGTCCCCATGCACAGGGAAAGAAGGAGACTTGTCATGTTGCCTTTGAAGACCTTTGAATCTTTCCGCAGGCTTGAACTCTGCAGCATCATTGCCGCGTAGGTCCGTGTCATGTTGAATTAGTAGGTTAGGTAGACTAATGTGAACGACGCCTGGTAATGTCAGGTCTCCTAGCTTCTTCTCTTTAGTGAATGGCTCGGGCCACCTGTGTCTCTGGAGGATATAGTCTAAGGACCTCGTACAATATCGTCATATGTAAGCAGACACTACAATAAAACATCAATTTAGTGACTTCAATTGCAACTATACTTTGTATTTGTAGAATGTATAACTAATTTCTAGTGAATTTGCAATTATTAAGCGACTACGCGTTGTGAGTTATAGTTTAGACGCAATTCGTGGTAGTAATTCCGCTACTCATTCAAGACTTATTTCTAACTCAGTCGCCAATTAAATGGTGTAGTTGCAAAATAGTTTTAAAAGAACGACATATATCTAACCAAAATATATGGTTACAAAATACTGCCTATATTTTTGGGACACTTTTGCGACTCAAATCAAAACAGTTGTATTTTGTTGGCTATCTACGGGTTTGAAAACACATGTTCCACACGAGATTGTTAGGTGTAACGAGTTATTGTCATTCATTTCTAATTCAAGGTGTCACACAACCAATATGAGCCTATAATTACTTTGCCTATGAACACACATTAGTAACAAACTAGTGACAGCTTGTCATTTACTGGTATTTATGGGTTTTGAAAACACATGTTCCACACGAGATTGGTAGGTGCAATGAACACACATTAGTAACAAACTCGTGGCAACTTGTCGCTTTCTGTTACAGAAATTTATTTGCAATAGTAGTCTTAACGATATGTATAAATTACTCATGCATCTAAAACCGTCAGTTTTCATGATTGATGCAGTAGAAAATTAATTGTGATATTTGCTACATACTTATAATAATTATAATTATGTTTAGATATCATTAGCTACTAATTTGGACAGTAAAGCATAATGATCTTTAGTGTATCACTAGATTACTTTGGGACAGTAAATGGAGTTGCAATTTAGTCCCGAACAGTAAAACTATTGTCACTATTTCGCCACTGCAGTCATATGTGTTTAATTAGTTATCCAAATACACTATTCCAAAATTATTTTGATATCTCTAATTAATAAACAGTCCAAGAAACCCAAAAATGATTATATATTTGTAAGAGATTGCGACTGATGATAAACTTTGAACATATGCACATCTTCAGAAAACATACTGTATGTCATCCACTTGTAATACATGAGTCATTCTAAAATTCTACTATAGAAGGTTGTTATAAATGGACCAATTCATCAACTTACCAAATAAAACTAAATAGACATATACTAATTGATATCTTAAACTTATTTAATTAGTCCAGACATTTTTGTTGAACAGCCGTTAGTCAAAACATAAACACGGTATTCAACACTTTAAAGATCAACCGGTTCTATTTCATAAATGTTTGTCCATTTAATACTACTGAAGAATTATTTCACCTAACATATCCTTTCATCGAATAACTATTTCATAAATGATTAATCCAATACTAACCGAGTCATGTTTTCTATAATCCAATAATAATATATCCTTTAATAAAAGCACGAAAATACTTTTAAGAAAATCTAATTTAAAAATTAATATACTTTAATATTTTATAAGTA